CAGAATAGCACAGTAGCTAAGAATGCCACCCTTGGGGCCAGAAAGAATGACTGGGTTCAAATCCCGGCTCTACCACTCACTGGCTGTGGGACCTCGGCAAGTTACTTAAATTCTCTGTGCCTCAGTTTCCACATCTGTGGGGTTGATGTCAGATGAAATGAGAAGCAGGTGCCCAGGAGGCACACGGTTAACCCTCATCACGGTGAGTACCAGCAGGTGCAGAGCCTTCAGAGAGGAGGCACAGCTCTCTGGATGACCTCATGCCCCCTCCCCTCCTCAGCTAACACTCCCAGAGCCCTTCCAGGACTGATTGGCCTCATCTGGGACCCCAGGTCTCCAGGTCCCCTGGGAAAGGAAGATCCCAGGCCTGTCTTCCTCTTGCCTTCTCTTTGGGTCTACAAACCAGGCCCCCAGAGCTCCATTCTCCTCTAACCTGAGGTCCCCCGGGTGGTCCCCAAGGGGCCTGCACTTCTGGAATGATGAGGGAGCTGGGTGCAGTGGCTCACACCTGTCATCCTAGCACTTTGGGAGGCCAAGGCAGGACTGTCTGAGGCCAGGAGTTTGAGACCAGCCTGGGCAACAAAGTGAGACCTCATCTCTACAAAACTAAAAAAATATTAGCCAGGTGTGGTGGTATGCACCTGCAGTCCCAGCTACTTAGGAGTCTGAGGTGGAAAGATCAGCTGAGCCCAGGAGGCCAAGGGTGTGATGAGCCATGATGGTGCCACTACACTCCAGCATGGGTGACAGAGAAAGACTCAAATTCGGAAGGAAGGAAGGAAGAGGAGAAAAAGAAAAACGAAAAAGGGAAAAAAAAAGAAATGATGAGGGAGGAAGAGAACGGAAACACAAATGGGGAGACAGGGAGGCAGAGTTCGGGCGTCACATGAGGCTGGAGGGCCACAGAGAGGCCCAGGGCAGAGGGGACCAGGTGGGCTCTGGCTGGGCAACCTTAAGCCTCAGTGGGTTCAGCCCAGCCAGGAAAGGGTTAAAGGCACCCCTTGGCTTTCCACCTGTGAGAACAAGCAAAGCCTCAGACACAGCCTCAGGACCCCAGCTCAGCAGTGGACTCTGGCTGGTCTCTCCGCCCTCCTGTCCAGCCCACTCCCTGGTCTCTGGCCGGTTACCCTCCACCATCTCCATCCTCTCCGTTCCTCCTCTAGCCATTCCACAAGACTCTGGACCCTCTCTCTGATCCAGAAAATCATCCCCAGAAGGCAGCCGCCCCACACTCTGCAGCTCCCTTCAGCTACAAGTCCGTAGGGCGCCTCTGAGGCTGTTCCGGTGCTGCAGGCTCAGCAGGGAGTAAGACCGGCTCTTCCCTCATGGAGTTTCACTCCAGAGCAGGCAAAGAGCTAAGGAGCAAATGCATATCACCACACCAGGTGGTGACAGAAATTCAAAGAAAAGGGGAAGCAAGGTGGAGGGTATTTCAAGTGGGTGGGCAAGAGCAGCCCTCAAGCTATTCCTGACAGAAGCTGGTGTGTACAGACCCCCACTCCTGCCTGTGGGGGGCTAAGTCCGAGATGTGCTCTCTGCTGCCTCCCAGAGACCCCTGGCAGAGTGAGCCCTAGTTGTCCCCAGTGGTAATAACTTGCTTGGCAAAGCACCCTTCTTGGCCACTGCCCCGCCCTGTCTCAGGTCCCCACCCTCGGTGTCTCTGTAGACCACCTCCCAAGTGAATCATATTCTTGTCTCAGGGCTGGCTTCTGGGGGAGCCCAAAGGGAGATACCCACAGACGGAGGGAGGAGTGGGAGCTGGCTGGGGGCCGGGCTCCTCACTCTCTTTGCTCCAGGACATCTCTTTTCTCAAGACCAGTCAGCACACATTCAGCCCCTCTGCTGGGTCTGTCTGAGCCCACTGAATCTGTGGCCAACCTGGAGAGCAGGGGCCAGGCCTGCCCCCTCTGTGGGTGACACTCCTGGTGGGGCCAAGCATGCTTTTCCAATAGCATAAAACCCAGGGATGAGTTCTGACTGGAAAGGAGGGGCTATCAGCCAGCCCTCCCTGCCCTATCCCATCCCCACCCTGCCTGGCTGGGCCAAGCTGTCCTGGCCACAGTTGGAGTACAGAAAAGGAAGAAGTGCGGACCCAGCCCATGCCCTCTACCGGCCCAACTCCATGCCTCTGGGGCAACTACCCACATGGGGGGAACGCTGTCTTCCCCTGCGAGGAACCCCCACCATGACAGCAGACACTCCTGGGGCAGACACTCCCGGCTTTACATGGCAGCTCTGATTCTCATGGTGCAGATGTGGGTTGTGACAGCGAACAGGACGGAAACTCCCTGCTCTTGTGGGGCTGCATTCTAGAAGGGGTAGGCAGGCAAGAAACCAGAGAAGTACGGGTAAAATGTGTTGGACAAAGGCTGTGGGAAAAAATAAGGCAGGGAAGGAGTCAGGGAGGGGTGGCAGGGGCTAGGAGTGATGCTGTTTTATATACGATGGCCAGAGCTGAGAAGGTGACATTCGAGCAAAGACCTGAGGAAGGTGAGGAAGGGAGCCATGCAGAGTGTTCAGGCAGGCCGAACGCACGGCCAGGGCAAAGGCCCTGAGGCAGAAGCATGGTGGCCAGGGTCAAGGAACAAGGGGGTCCGGCAGCCTGAGCAGATGAATAAGGGGAGAGCGGAAGGAGGAGGCTGGGGAGGTGGAGGAGAGGGCCAGGGGTGCAGACGATCTGGGGCCTTGTGGGTCAGAGTGAGACCTTTGACTTTTTCTCTGGTGAGATGGGAGTCACTGCAGGGTTTGAGAAGAGAGGCGGTGTGCTCTGGCTCCATTTTAAAGGACCCTGGCTGCTGGGGGAAGGGTACAGGGGCAAGAAGGGGAGGAACCTCTAGGAGGCGCTGAAGTCCCCCAGCTGAGGAAGCGGGGGGCTCAGTGCAGAGGTGATGCGAGCGGGGGTGGGTGGGAGGGGGTGAGAAGGGGTTGGAGTCTGGAAACACAGTGACGTCTGAGCCGACAGGATTTGCCATGGTGTAGATGTGACTGATCTGACAAGGATTCGAGGGTGGCTCCCGGGTCTTGGCCTGAGCAGTCCAGGTAGAGCTGCTGGGACAGGGAAGACCCAGGGAGGAGCAAGGGGAGACAGAAACTCAGCTTTGGAGCCCTGAGCTGCCCATGAAGAGCCAACTGAAGATGCCCCCTCACTCCCCGCCCACATGGGGGGTAGTGGGAGGGGCCAGCCTGGGGCCAAGTTGCTCTTGGGCCGGGGAGCCACAGCCCCTGTTGGGCTCCTGGGGCCTCCCTCGAACTCCCTGCGACCAGGGGAAGGCTGTTGGGAAGAGGCTGCATCCCAGTCCGGCTTCCAGGCAGGTGCTTAGGCTGTCCGCACACTGGGTGCCAAGGGGTGGGGTGGAGAAATGTGTCCCGGGAGCCTGTTTTGGTGGACTCGCTGCCTGAGAGTCTGGCGGCAAGAATGTAGGAGAAAGAGCCAGCAAAGTCAGCCCTCCGACAGGGATAGGTGAAGCAGAAACATGGCAGGGAGGGATGTGGCCTACAGAAGGCAGGCCAGGAGTGGGGAGACCAGGCCAGGCCCGGAGGGGCTGGGAAAGGGATAGCTCCTTCCAGCTCTTGCCAAAAGAACTTGCCACCCCCCTCCAGACCTCCCTGCCCCTTCTCTACCGGGGATGGGGCAGCTGCTGACCGGCCAAGTCCAGCAGGCCCGGCTGCAGGACGTGAGACAGGGCAGAAGCCAGCTCTTGCCCTAGAGGGGAGGGTGAGAGGCTTCAGAGAAGCAGGAGCCAGACGGTGTCAGTGTGCACAGGCAAATCTGCTTCTCCCACCTATTCCTGCTATCTCCCTTCCCAGGCCTTTGACCCAGGGTGGGAGACCCTGTGGCGGCCAGCATTCAGCAGATGTGCCCCTAACGTCTGCAGAAAGGAACAGGGCCAGGTCGGCTGCTCGGCATGTATTCCCTAGCCATCACAAGACCCCTCCTCGGCCCCTGCACCAGGTCCTCTGGCCCCCATGCCCAGGGATGAGGAAGCCCCGCCCTGTGGTGCCAAGACCCAGCCAAGTTCTTGGGGGTGCTGGGGAGAGAGGTGGGAAAAAGGGGTACACATCCAGCCCTTCCCCTGTCAGGCTAGGATCTCCTCCCCAGCTGGCCAAGGTGCGCCCACCCCCACACTCACGCAGGGCCCATCCCGCCTCCTCCCTGCCCAGCTGCCTCACCTGCCTCCTCCCTGCCCCTCCCTGCCCGGTGCCCCACCCCGCCCCCTCCTGAGCAGCCGGCAGAAGCTCCTCCGCAGTGCCCGAGCTCCCCCGGCAGCAGCCAAGGCTGTCCCCAGGAGCCATGCAGAGAGGGACAGAGACAGGGAGAGGGAGGGCCACAGGCACTCCCCCATCCGAGCGTGCTCCCCTGGACCCGACGTGGAGATCCTGGGCTTGCCGGGGATGGGCACAGGGTCCTTTGGGAGGTCTGGGGCTGGGGAGAGTTCACTCGTGTGCAGGGAGAACGAGGAGGGGAAAGGGCCTGAGTTTGGGGCAGAAGGAGGAAGGCGCCTCTGGCTTGACCAGGGGCCTCCAATCCTGTGCCTGAGCCGCTCCAGGGCCAGCAGGGAGGCTCGGGTGCCAGGGGCGGGAGGGGAGTCTGCTTGCTCCAGCAGTGCCCTGAGTGGGGTGGGAGCACCTTCACTTCTCCTTGCCCCCGTCTCCCACTCCGTTTAGCTTCAGACTGGGGGTCCCTGGAGGCTCCCATTCCCCTTGGCCCACAGCCCCAGGGAGGAGGCATGTCTACAAAGTCAGGATCTGTGGCAGCAGTGGAGACAGGGGTGGAGGCTCGGAGGGAGGCCGCCGGGGACAGCCCCCTGACAGGGAAGGTCCAGGTTCCGAAGAGGGCCTCTCACGATGCTGGCGCTGCCCCCAAACCCGTTCCCCACCCAGGCCACCGGCCAGCCCCTCCAGCTGGCCTGTGTGCTTCCTCCAGGTGCTACTGTGGGAAGGCAGGGCAGCCCCGGGTCCCCACTCTCCACGCAGTCTCTTCCAGCCATCGGAATGCCTACCTGGGCCCGCGTGGGCACCAAGCCAGGGGCAGGCAGGAGCTTCCTGCCCCTGCTGGGCCAGGCCAGGGCCGGAGGGGCTTGCTGTCCTCCTCCTCCGTGGTGGCGGGCGGGAGGGGGCCTGGCGCCGGCCTGGGTTCTGTCCTCTTGGGTTCCCTGCGCCGCTCACTCGGGAAGGCAGCAGCGCCTTCCAGAACTGCAGGAGCCAGCTCCCCCTCCACTGCTGCCTCCTCCCCACTCCCTCCTCCCGACCCGCCTCCCTTTCTAGCCACCCACCTCCGTCTGCTCGTTTCTATGGCAACTGGGCAATGCTCTGCACAGACAGCCTCCCTCCCATGTACAGCAGGGGACGCCCGCCTCCTGCACGGCGTGGGGATGAACCCGGGTGCACACACTGCACAGAAAGGCTGGTGGGTACTCGGGCTCAGGCCACTGCCCTTGGCTGGGGGGCTCTGCCCCAGTGCCTCTCCCCACTTCCTCCCTTCTAAAGATCCTGCTCCCCACTTCCCTTCCAGGCATCATCAGTTGCGCCTCTCCATAGGCTTCCCTTGGGTCCTTAAGACCCTACCACATGCAGCTCTGTAAAACATATCTTCCTTTTTTTTTTTTTTTTTTTTTTGAGTTGGAGTCTCACTCTGTCGCCCAGACTGGCCTCCTGGCCACTGCAGCCTCGACCTGCTGGGCTCCAGCGATCCTTCTGCCTCAGCCTTCCAAGTAGCTGGAACTACAGGCACGCGCTACCACGCCCGGCTAATTTTTGATTTATTGTAGAGATGAGGTCTCGCCAAGTTGCCCAGGCGGGTCTCGAACCCGCAGGCTCAGGCAATTCATTCACCTCAGCCTCCCGAGGTGAGTGGAGGATTACAGGCTGAGCCACCGAGCCCGGCTGTAAAACATTTCTATTTGTTCGATCACTTACTCTCTCATTCCATTAAAACTTTAAATTTTATTTTGTGTTTTATTCTGCACCGGGCTAAGTGTGAGTTGCTTATCCACAGTCTTGTGCCATGAGACTGCATGCCCATTTTACAGATGAGAAGCTGAAGCCCACAGCTGTAAAACAACGCATCTGAGCATCCAAGGTACCTGGGTTATAGGTGTTGGGGCCTTGGGATTCCAATTCGCCACCGGCCACAGCTGCCACACACCCCTCAGAGCACAAATCTGGGCTCACACTGCCCAAGTGTGATCCATATGCACCCCTGTGTGTCCAGGACATGTGCGCCCCAACAACACACTTATAGATACAAGTACACATTTGCACATATTTACATGTATTTGCATATGCATTTCCACAACCCTGTGTGTCTACTACACATGCACATATAACTCACACCCATACACACACACAACTGTAACACTAACATCAGCCCACACACATCTTTACGACACATGCACACACATCTACACAGATCCAGCACATGCAACACACAAGCCCTTCCTACACAAATCCACAGCTGCACACACAAGCCCCCACCATCGCTTCATGGGCGTGGTTTGTTGATAGGAGTAAAAGTGCCCTGACCAGGGGGTTGAAAGATGAGATGAGCCGCTTCCCAGGGGAGGATTTGACTGTCTGCTCCGCCCCACCCAGGGATCAGGCACTAATCTGATCTCAGCAGTGTCTCAGCTCTACTGCTGAAGAGGACACGGGGTGGGGGTGGAGACAGGGCCCGCCCTCCCCAATCCTCACTCTGAAAATCCAGACCGGACCTGTCTAGGGCCCCTTCAGCCAAGAGGGCTCACCCATATCCCTACACACCCACCTGGTTGCCGTCCAGTCCTGGGACTTGGAGTTATGACCGGGTAAAGTGATTCTCCTCTACCCCAGAGGGAATTCCAGACCTCAGACAGGCTTCTGGTCTCCTGCCATTCCCCAGGAGGGAAGATGGCGTGGGGGGTGGCAGGACACCAGAGTGGTGACTGGAATTCAGAGCACACAGCATGCTGTTATTAGCCCAGCACCACCTCAGGGCCTCAGGCAAGGGTCATGCAGCCCCTGTGCCCAAAGGCAATGCTCAGGGACCCCTGCACTCATTCCTCAGAGAGGGCAGATACAACAGGAAAGAACCACCAAAAGCTAAGCAAAAGTCTGCCTTCTACTGATAATGACAGGGTCTTCCATATCCATCATATCTAAGATGCCTCTCCATCATCAGATGACTGCCACTTAAACTAAGACACGCTACCAATTGTACAAAGCATGCCAATATCAGAGATGTCAGAACATAAGGGAAGAAAATCATCTTGGAATAGAGAAATAGAGCGTTTCATTCATTCAACAGATACTGTCTAGGTACCCACCACGTATTCTAGGTGATGGGATACAGCTGCGGGCTGTCTCTACCTTTGAGAGGACGACAAGCTAGTGGATTCATTGAGCGCCCATCCTGCAGTGTCTTTGGCCATCACAGCAGCCTTGTGTGGTTAAGGTCACTGGACTGACTAGAAAACAGGCTCTGAGAGAGTCTGCCCAAGGTAACAAAGTCAGCTTCCAGCTACTTGGAAGACTGAGGCGGAAGGATCATCTGAACCCAGCAGGTTGAGGCTGCGGTGGCTGTGAGCATGCCACTGCACTCCAGCCTGGTCGACAGAATAAGACTGCATCTCAAAAACCAAACAAAACAAAGTCAGCAAATGGCTGGGTTAGGATTCAAATCCTCAGCCTGCCAAGCTTTTTCCAGTGCTCCACCTTGATTCCATTAACAGCTGATTGGGAAACATGGCAACGGCCTCCCAGTTTCTAAAAATTTCACAGCCAAGTTCACTGCTATCCTTAGATCAAAGGCAGGACAGGGTCATATGCACTCGAAGTGCCAGTCACGTGGTGGGAATAAGGGCCCCCAAAATGACCTCCAAACTGACTTCCAGCCTTGCCTTCCATGGGTCAGAAGGCTGACATTGGTTGTCCCCAGGCCCAGGGGTCCTTGGCAGGAGGTCAGGTTGAGGTCCAGGCCAGGAAGGTGGGCAGGCCCAGCAGAGCAGAGGCTCCCTGGTGAGCGAGGAGGGCCTCAGCTAGGGGGCGGGGAGGGATTGAGTTCCCAGGTGCTGTAAGCAGAACCCCCTGCCCACCTGCCAGCCCCCAGCCCCAGATCATCTTTCTCTGTCCAGGGATACCAAAGACATCTGCCTTGCTACCCACCCCTCCGTCAGCCTGATCTGGCCCCATCTGCTGCCTGGCGGACCCCAAGTCCTGCCCTCCCACACTCATGGATGCCAGACAGGCCCTGTGGGAGAAGCCGACCCCTGCGGTCACCCCTCCTTTTCCAGCCCAGAGGGCATCCACCCCCACCCCACCCTCACAGTCAGCTTAATCTGGCCCCATCTGCTGCTGGGAAGGTCTGAGTTACCCATGAGTGACTCCTACTCCCCCACTGGCAGGTACCACGCCAGCCCAGACACCCCTCTATAACACACACACACACACACACACACACACACACACACACACCATGCCCAACCTCAGCTCCTATTTCTGGACCTTAACCATGTTCCAGTCCCACAGGCGGTATCCGCCTACCGAGGAAGGAGGAGGGTGTCTAGTTGAGGCCACGGAGCAGCTGCTCTCACGCCCCTGGGAGAAGCCCACCCCCCTGTCACCCCACCACCTTGCCTCCTTACCCAGCCCCCAAAACCATTCACTGCCTCCTCCCCCCAGCTCAGCCAAGTTATCTCACGTGTTCCCCAGAGCCAGGGCAAATGCAATCAGGGCTCATTAGCGGCTGCTTTGCATCTCATTTGCATAATATTCCCATGACTGTCAAAATGCCAGAATCCTCCTCCCCAACCCCTGCAGGCCTGGCCAGCTCTGGAGAAATAAAGTGAATAAGTTTCTACTGAGGGTCTGCGTAGGGGGCTAAGGATGTGTGGGCACTGGGGACCAGGATGATCAGGAGAAATTGTCCAGCAGCACCCAGGGGAGGAGTAGCAAATACTTACTGAGCATCTGCTAAGTCTAGGCACAGTGCATGGTGCTTTACACTGGATCCACTGGTTTTTCACAATGAACCATTGTATAGGTACAGAAACTGAGGCTCAGAACAGCTGTGGCCTCGCTATTCAAATTCTGGGTCTAAAGACAAGCAGCTTGGGCATCACCTGGAAGCTGGGAAGAAATGCAGGCTCTCAGGTCCCAACCCAGACTTCCTGCACCAGAATCTGCATTTTCACAAGATCCCAGGAGATGTGAGTGTGAGACTACTAGATTAAGGGACTCTCCCTATCCTGTAATACACAGATGGAAGATGAAGCTGGTGTCAGCACTGAGGTGTGTCGGACTAAATCCTATGCTAGTTTGTTTTTTATAGACAGAATCTCACTGTCATCCAGGCTGGAGTGCAGTAATGAGATTACAGCTTACTGCAACCTCCAACTCTTGGGCTTAAGGGATCCTCCTTCCTCAGCCTCCTGAGTAGTTGGGACTACAGGTTCTTGTCACCATGCCTGGAAAATTTTTTCTATGTTTTTATAGAAATGAGGCTTCACTGTGTTGCCCAGGCTAGTCTCAAACTCCTGACCTCAAGCAATTCTCCTGCCTCAGCCTCCTTAAAGTGCTGGGATTATAGGCTTGAGACCCCTCACCCAGCCCCATGGTAGTTTATTTAGAATATTTAACAAGGATTTCTTGAACACCTACCATGTGCAGCACTGTTCTAGGGTGGAACACAGCAGATAACCATATAGGGATTAAAGAAAAACACAAATAAACAGGAAAAAAATATCCCATGTTCATGGATTGGAAAATTGTTAAAAATTGTAAAATGTCCATGCTACCCAAAGCCATCTACAGATTTGATGTAATTCCTATCAAAATCTCAATGACATTGTTACAGAAGTAGACAAAAACAATCCTAAAATCCATATGGAACCACAAAGGATGCCAAATAGCACACAAACACACACAAAAATCTTGAGAACAAAACTGGAAGTCTCATACTTTCTAATCTCAAAACATATTCCTAAATTACAGTAATTAAAACAGTATGGTATAAACAGTCTGTAATAAAGACAAACATATAGACCAATAAAACAAAATAGAGAACCCAGAAATAAACCCATGTATATATAGTCATTTGATTTTTACTGAGGATACCAATAATACACAATGGGGAAAGAATAGTTTCTTCCTCAACAGATGATGATGGGAAAACTGGTATCCACATGCAAAAGAATCAAATTGGATTCTTATCTTATATCATGCACAAAAATCAACTCAAAATGGATTAAAAACTTAA